TCATCCTAAACATAAATCAACTGTTTTTATTGACCAAACAGTTCTAATATAAGTCATTTTAGATCTGAAAAACTGTGGAAGTAACTGGCAAAAGTTAGGAGTGTCTATTATACATTTGATCGGATGAGATCCCTCATAAGCAATTTACGTAATGCTTTTGTACAGGTACCCTGCGTAAGGTCCTTTGCTGCGTGCAGAATTACAAGCAAGCTGAAAATGATCAGGGAAAGACATAATTTTAAGAGCAAAGAACAGTGACACACTAATTTAAGGGGTTGGGCAGTTTCGTCTACGTCAACGGGAGGAGTTGTTTCAAATGACCAAGAGGGAATTACAATAAGAAATAAATCAATTTCTCACTGATCAAAACCCCAATTGCAAGAGTCAATCAAAAATGAATGAGACGAGTGGAAAGCATTTCCCAAGAGTTTTCTGAGAAGGACACTCTAATCTCTCGCGATCAAAAACCAAGACAATCTGTTCTCAATTCTTCTCATTTTCCTTAATGGCCCCAATATACCTTAGCAACAAAAATATATAAAAATATGGATTGCAGCATCACTGTTAAAAGAATAAAAAGTCGTGCCGAGATCTGCCAACTTTTGTTAACCTCCTAAACAACAGGACCATTATGGCCAGACTCCTGGGATTTGACCGGTAACTATTGTGGCTTCTTCAGGTGTCCACAATTGCTTCACCGAACGACCAACCCTGTACAATACTAACACATTCTTCAAGCTGCGTATTTGGTCCATACAATTGCACGGGCCAATCCCAAGCCAAATCTAGGTCCATGTTAAAAAACTCGAGCCACAAACTTAACAACTATCAACCAAATTAGTTTTGGGCATGGCAAAAAGCATGCCAAGCTACCCTGCTTTTCTTTCTTTTTCTTAATCCCTTCAAGCTGGCGGGGGCAGAAAGGAGTGAGACAACTTCACAGTTTTCAGAAGCATACCATGGATTCTAAAGATCGTCTGGCCAGAAGTTGAGTGGATGAATTCCTCGGAGTACTGCTTTGATTAGGAATATAGCATGTGGATTTCCTGCCAATTTTACTGCCAAATATATCATCTTCGTCTTCACCGTCAATAGAAGAATCCACCTCAAGAAAAGTTTGATTTTTCTCAGGTTGTGGAGAATCTTCTATAATAGTAACAACGTGCACAACATTGCATCCACCGTCATAACGGATATCTTGGCCAAACATATCAGCCAAAACTCCACAAGCTTCTGATTCCACAGCTTGCAAATCATCCCAATCCTCAGTAGCTTGCATTGTTTTGGCAAGTTCCGCTAGAAACTCATCGCCACAGTGTTCCACGGTGATAAACTCTTGATCTTCGTCACCTTAAAAAAACCCAAAACGAAGAAACAGATGATTTTGCAAGTCAATAACACTACTCCGCCAAACCCACAAAGAAATGACAATGGGAATAACGCTCAATGAACAAAACTTAACCAGCTCCGGTCCATTGAAATCCAAAGTAGACCATTTCGTAGCCATCATCAGAGCACTAACCAACCGAACCGCAATAAATCTCCTTATTTAGGAACGCACAATCAATCAATACACAAATTACCCACGCAACACAAGCAATTGCGTCATTCCCTAATCACCAGATACCACCCAATTTGGCCAAGAACCAATAAAAAACCACCATCCAAAGTAGCCTCAACACATCAAACTGGAACCGTGCCAGACATTTTGCTCGTCACTCGTCAGTAATACTACTTCACTAAGCACCCTATTCTACAGACAGCGAGACCGTGGGGACGAGAAATACCTGTGCAACCTCTGCAAACGCTAATCTCAGCATGAAAAAACAGGCGACGAAGTAACGATTCGAGTTACCGTAGAGGGAAACGAGACGGTCCAGGCATTGGTGGCGGACTGCTGGTCGAAGCCGAACTCGAGAGCCAAGCTCAGCAACCGAGCTTTCTCTACCTCTTCCAACCCCGATCCTCCATCGAATCACATCTCAACCTGTGTTCGACGCGATTCGACGGATCGATCGATGGTGCGCGAGCCGGAATGGAATGGAATCGATCGCTAGTCTCTCTCTGGAGAGCGCGCGCTCGAAGTGATCTTTGTTCGAAAACCTTCCCGGCGATGGCGGGATTGGCTGATGTTTGTTTTTGCCCTTTTGTATATATATATGCTGGAGAATGAGAGGGGACAGTTTGGTGCCATATTTTTTAAAAAAAAATTTCGACAATTCCGTTTTCACGCCCTGAAGTTCGTTGGAAGTTCTATTTTGGCCCCCCTCATAAGTTTTTCTGGTTTCATTTGACACCCTTGGGTTGGGTCTGTTTGGCGGGAGCCTTTTCTTTTTGCGTTATTCTTCTCTGGTTTCATTTCACGTTTACGTTATTTTTACCTTTACATATATTAATATAAATATTGCAATGGAATGATTTTCAAAAAATTTAGGAAAAATAGCGTTTCCAACACTGCTTTACTCTTTGGCAAAAAAATAAAAAAACTACTTTGTTATGGCTAAAAAAACTACTTTGTTACCAAACTACTTTGTTTGGTAAAACCCCTCGATGGTGATAGAAATTTCATAAGTCAAAGCTTTATTTTATGGGATCAGTCCTGCATTCAACGTGGTGGGCTGTTGGATAAAATGAGAAAAAAATGTTATCCGTCAGATCTGTTTTTGCATTAAAAGGAAAGTTACAGACGCAAACGTGATCAAATTACTTTAATTAAGAAAAGTTATGATGAGTAAGGAAAATTACTGAGACATAGGTCTTGAAACTTTATCACGTGCAAAGGAGAGTTACGATCGATTTAGATATTTTACTAAAAATTCACGAAAGAAATTTGCTATTAACAGAATAGATATTACTTTTGTGGAATTTTACCAAACATAGGTTTCAGGGAATTTATGACCTCCAAAGAAAAAGTGCACCCTCCAAAGATAACCTGTGAAAGGATGTTTTACGGGTAAAATTACTATGAACAAGGACAATTTATTTGCCAAAGGAAAATATCCAGTAATTTACTAACCATAGGAAAAGATATTTTACCCAAAACTTTGGCAGATTACTATATTTCGGGGAATATTGCAAATCATATGACCTATAGAACTTACGATGACAAACGAAAAATTACTTTTTGTGAAGAAAAGTCGTGAAATTGATAAATTTGAGAATACCCAATAAGAATCACCATTGATTAGACGGGATCCAATCCCATTTTCCCTTCTCTATCTTGTTGTTGTCGATTGTTCGACTGATTCTTGCCAATCTGTAGATGGTTATGAGTTGCGAGAATATGGAGTATTTTGTTATGGGGGGCCACTTGTTTTTTAGGGTATCATTTCTCGAGAAATATGTTCCTCGAGAAATATGTTCCTCTTGAAGTTTAGCTTGATTCTAGCAATGTGGGGATTGAGTCGAGTTGAACCCGAGCATTCAAATAAAGGGAAGAGCCAGAGCAAAGCAAACAGAGGAATGCATCAGTTCATTTTAGGGTGTCCTCTTGTGGTGCTTGTTGCGCCACTTCTTTCTGTGTTCGCTTCTAATCTTCTCAAGAAGAGAAAAACGAGCAGAAGCAATACAAATGCAGAAAATGAGAGCACTGACGGAGCATCTACATATCCGTTCTCCAACACCAACATGAGCGGGAAAGTGATCCCTATGATGTAATTTTTGAGCTTTAGAGTCTCAGGTACTCGCAAGGGCTTCACCGATCACCTCTACCACAATTTCATGAATGTCGGAACCGTACCTATGCTTGTGTTCAGGGATGATAACAGCCTCCCTATCGGCAATGGGTTGGTTCATGGCTCCATGATGCAATCACATGGTCTAAAGTTTGGATGCCTATAATATTTGAAAATTATGCCTCTAGCAAATGATGCATTCTCAAGCTCATTCAACCCGTGGATCGCTAAAAAAGCACAAGACATTTAATCTTGCCTATTTTTTACAAAGTGGACCTATCATGTGTGAGATACCTAAACGGATTCACCTAATGCTGATGGACCTGGCGGAAATTGAAAAAGTTTCAACTCTTTAGATTATCTTGATCTCTCTTGTGTTCACAATATGTTTCTACTTGCACTTGATTCTCTCTGTTTAAAGCTTTGTTGGTGGTAGTTAGTACATAAGAGTGAATGTAAGTTTAATATAAACTGAACCTACTCGCGTATTTGTCTATTTTTTAATCTTATTACTTTATCCGTTTGATAGAAGCATTCGTCCTTCATAAACTATTTTTGTATCTGCCGAAGTCTATTTGCAAGTATTCCATGAAAAGGTTCAAACTTATCTAAAACAATAGCCTTGATACCAATAAGCGTAAGTTTGCCCTCTTGAATCTTGCAATCAGGAATGACATTATCCATCTTCGTGACAGTGTGATGGGCCGAAAGACTACCCATTTTCTTGTATAAACTAGCAAAGCAATGATCCTGATGGGTACATGCTGTAAAGAAAATAAAAGTTGATTCTTTTTAATCACTAACATATATCATGTTAGAAAATTTTGTTTTTTTTTCTCTCATTTTAGTAAGATGATGTACATCACAAAATAAATAGCAAATGATAGTTAACTTTTAAATAGACTCATGACCTTGAATTTTTTTCCCCTACATCGCTAGATGTCGGCTTTTTAGATTACTAACTCATTCGAATTATTTCCTAAAGAATCTCTAGTAAAATATCAACAGTGCGTGTTTTTTCAATGGATAGCTCATATTACCAAAATAGAGATGGATCTATATAGTAAAGTTCAATCATTCCATCTATACCAAAGAATTATTTCTCAACCATCTATACCAAAGCATTACTTCTCAAGTTTGGAAATAATTGCTCATCATTATCATACACAACTGGAAGCATGAATGTAGAAAAATAGAGCTCTTAAATTTGGAAGACTCTGCTAAAAGTTTCTAACAACAATTCTTTAAACTTTGGATTGTAACTAGAAAATTTTGGTGGGGCCAACATTTATTAGTGAATATGAAAATTTTTGTAAATACAGAAAAGCATCAGCAATGGGTGCCACGGAAGAGACCAGGATTGCTACCGTTCTTACTTCTTAGGGTAGAGCTAACAGTCATCTAGAGACCACGAATTAGCGAACACGCCTAGAGAGAAAGAGGTAGTTGACCTTTTTGGGGACCTCTCTTTAGGGGCCATCACCTAATCTTCCACGGTCAAACCTCTCGAGGAGCACGAACCTTCTTCAGCATTTCCAAGGGGAGAACTTAACGTACACGTTATTCTCGAGTGGACCAAGCCAACAAGTTTGACTTGACTAGAGGATGAGGTCCAAAAGAAGATAGGGCAAGGACTACAAGCATTTGCAGAAAAGCATCCTAAAAGCTTCTTTCGTTGTTCATCAATCCTTTTGAGCAGCAGAAAAGCATCTTTTCGTTTCAACTTTCCCCCTCATATCGCCATGGGTAATGGGCAGAGTCAGGGAAATAGAAAGAGAGCAGAGGAAGAGAGCACTGAGGGAGCATCCATTCCTTCGTTCATCTCTCCAGTACCCACAGATGTAGGTTGCAGTCAATATGACGTGTTCTTAAGCTTTAGAGGCACCGATACCCGCAAGGCATTCACTGATCACCTCTATCACAGTCTGATCAAGGCAGGGACAGTACCGATTTGCGTGTTCAGGGACGATAACAGCATACCAATTGGCGAGGAATTTGATTCACAGATTCTCGATGCCATCGCACGGTCTAAGAATTCGATCCCCATCATCTCGGAAAATTATGCGTCGAGCAAATGGTGCCTCCGTGAGCTCATTCATATCATGGACTGCAAGAAGAGCAAGTCACACATAGTCTTGCCCATCTTTTACAAAGTGGACCCATCGGATGTGCGGTATCTAAAAGGAAGGTTTGGGGAGGCCTTCCATTCGTGTAAGAAGCGTTTTGATGAGAAGGATATTCAGGAAGGGCAGCGAGCACTTAGAGAAGTGAGTGGCTTACATGGATGGGAATCCGAGAAAGTTGCTAACGGGTACTTCACATAACTTTTTTCGTTTTTTGATAAGCAAGTTTTCTTCTTCACGCATAACCGATGAAATACAGATGTATCACTTTCACTACAAGCTTAGAAAGGATCCCCAAAATGTCCCAATAATGCCTCGAAGACTAACAAACACTAGTACTTCCCAAGATGTCCTGAAAACTAAACCAAGGACAACTTAAACCAAAGATCCCGTAGCGCCCAAGAATTTTACATTTGTATCCGTTCCAGAGCAAAAAAAAGAAAGAAACAGCAACCCCTCCAGCCAATAGTATCAATCACTAAATAACATGCCTAGAAAGGACTCCAATGCTCGGTCTTCCAAAACTTGATCACTACCAGATAAAATAGACTTCCTCATGCCAACGGGTTGGCTCAGCTGATAAGAATTGGACACTTCACATTTACTATGTTTAGGTTTGATTTCCAATGCCAGTAACCCCCATTGGTAAGTGATCTTGGGGTAACCTCCTCTCTTTCTAAAATTTTTAGACCCCCCGCCGCGACACCCACCCCCCCACCCCCCCAAAAAAATAAAAATAAAAATTGACCTCCTAACTTTCTACTGGCGGCAACCTTTATCCTTATAAGGAACATTATAGTTTGAAAGACTCTTGATGAGCCAGGTGCACCACCTTATTTTATTTCAACAAGATCCATCTATTGGCATAAAAGGATTGGGAAAACAAATTAAATGACCTCTACACCATCTTCCCCCATTGTTAATTGTAAAACCAAACGGCTTGGAAGTTAATTGGCCCAATGCATCCTTCATTATATACCAGTCTTTTGATGAGATTAAGTATATTCACGAAGTTATCATTGAGTTTTGTTGTTTGATAGGCATGAAGGAGAATTAGTGGAAAAAGTTGTCGAAAAAATTCTGAGCGAGTTGCGACAAGATTTTCAGCTTGATGTTACCAAGCACTTAGTTGGAATTGGAGATCATTTGAACAAAATCAGGAATTGGGTAGACGCTCCTGCCAGGGTTGCTCGAATGATTGGAATATATGGTATGGGTGGGATTGGAAAAACAACTCTTGCCAAGGTAATCTACAACCAGTTGTCGAATGACTTTGTGCATCGTAGCTTTCTTGCTGATATTCGAGAAGCGGCTCACTACTACAATATTACTGATCTACAAAAACAACTAATTAAGGACATACTGCAAATTGAACATCAAGTTGGGAATGTTGATGATGGAATTAGTTTGATCAAATTTAGATTCAAAGGAAAAAAGGTTCTCATTCTTCTGGATGATGTAGATGACAAGAATCAACTAGATGCGTTGGCTAGGGAGCGTAATTGGTTTATGGCAGGAAGCATGATCATTGTTACCACTAGAAATGAAGCCGTACTTGATCAATCTGAATTCGAGGTAGACTACAAGTATGAATTGAATGAATTGGATGAGGTGCAAGCTTTGCTTTTGTTTAACAGACATGCATTTCGTGTGGACCATTCTCTAAGGGACTTTGAGGGTATATCTCATGATATTATATCGACCACGGGTGGGCTTCCCTTGGCACTTCAGGTCGTAGGTTCATACTTGTATAGAAAAACGAATCGAAAAGTATGGGAAGATGTGCGGAAGCAATTAAAAAACCAACCACATAGAGATGTCCAAAAGATATTACAAATAAGTTATGATGCATTAGACGATGGACATAAGCAAATTTTTCTCGATATTGCTTGTTTCTTTATTGGCGAAAATAGCAAATTCGCGATGTACATGTGGGAGGACTGTGGGCTTTATCCAAGTCAAGGAATTGAAGAGTTGAAGTTGAGGTGCTTAATTAAAATTAGAGATGGTGGTTGGTTTGAGATGCATGATCAATTGAGAGATCTTGGAAGGAGCATTTTTTGCCAAGGACAACCACTTGACAAACGGAGCGGACCATGGGACTACGACTATAAGGGAGCCTCAAGGGTACCAAGGGCCTGTTTGGTTCAACTTTGAAAATGCTACTTGTGGGAATGCAAATACCTTTGGGTGAAAGCCCATTGAGAAAATGCAAATGGTGTTTGGTAAAAATATTTTGTAAAGCTACTTTGGCCAAAATATTGTGTTTGGTGAATTTTTTTTTGCAAATGGACTTTGAGAATTGTTTTATTTATTAAAAAAAAAAAACAAAACCTACCATCGCCGGAGCTAGCCGCCGGCGGGTCTCGACCGCCGCCCGGCCGTCGTCGGGGTCGGGCGACCCAGAGGCCCAGATCTGCCCCACCGGTGGTCGCCGAGGAGACCGGCGACCTCGGCGGGGGTCGCGCGACCCAGGCGACGGCGGCTGGGTCGAGCAACCCAAGGCGGCGTCGCTGGGTCGCGCGACCTAGGCGACGCCGCTGAGGACGGCGTCGCACAGGCGGTCGCAGGCCCGAAGCGACCTCGCAGGCCCTTTTCCCGCCGTAGGCCACCTCGCCGGTCGCCCTCGCCAGTTTACTGTGAAGAACGACTTCAACCAAAAAAAAAAAAAGGTGAAAACGGTAGCATTCGTGGAATCTTTGAGCCAAGGAGTGGGACCGGCCTTGGGCTTTAAGCATTTGGAATGCTAGCATTTGGCCAATGCTAGGCCAAATGCTGAACCAAACACTCCGGCATTTTGGGAAGGGGCTTTGGAGGCTCAAAGCCCCTTCCCAAAGCTGAACCAACACCCCCTAAGGAAAGGAAAGGTAAAATATGGCACTCCTTTCTTTTTTTCTCCCTCTTATTTTAATATATTTAATTTGATCTATTCTAATATTTCATCTAGCATGAACAAATGGAGGGATAAAACCCTAAACTGGTACACTTGTCAACTGTCACGTGTCATTCAACTCAGTAATTTGACAGTAAAATTTAATGGAAACTAACGGAGGGTAAATTTGTTACAGGTTTATCAGTTTTGGATTTTTGGTGGTCAAAAAATTAATTTGGGTAAATTTATCACAAGTGTAATAGTTTGAGATTTTTCGTATTAAAAAAGATAGCAAAAATCCCCTTAAATTTTTTTTTAGGAAAATTTTATTATTTTTTAAGGTTTTATCACGTTGACCTTGCTCATTTCTTATAACAGATGTTTCTATCCGCTATAAGTTGTTTTATATTATTTATAGTTTTTGGGACAATGCCTCTTTTGTGCCAAAAATCGCTAGACTAACTTGACTATTTAAAAAAAGAAAAAGAGAACTTGACTAATTTGGCGAAATGTTGTGCTTATTATTATATCCATAGCTTTGTATTAATTATATATGATTTTCAACATGAAGCCAATTTTTTCAACTATTTTTCTCTTTTACTTAAATTATCAATGTTCATGTCATATTATTATTATACTTTGTCCATCTGGATGCCTCATAGGCTCATGACTGGTCAATGGCAAAAAATTTACCATAGCAATTAACCAAGATATTGGGCAAAGGTAATAGCTTTATCTGCTTGATATAATTTGAAATAGTTCGTTCCTATGATTCACTATCACACTTTTTTGTTAATCCAATAACTTCTTAACATTCGCAAAAAGAGCACACAATATGGGTGTTTGAAAAATGAAAAAAATAGTCAAATCTGTTTTGAACAGAAAAAAATGTTGAAAGATTATAATTTGTGTAGGAAAAAAAATTGAATGATTGTAAGATGCGAGAGATTTTGATTTAACTTTGGAAAATGAAATACTTATGGGACTAATTTCCAATTGTCTTGACAATTTAAAATATGATCCTGTCAATTTTGTTATTTACTATTTCTTCGGTTAATTTTGGTGAAATATATGCGAATTGCGTGGAACTTTTAACGAAAGTTTGAGGTTTGAAATCCCCTTTCTATATAATAGATTTTTTTTAATGTAATATACCGTTCAGATTGATATACAAGTGAAAATTACGAAAGATAGCGTGGGATGATGATTACAACAATTTAGCGACTTTTCCTACAAACAAACTTAAGAGAAATTATACCCCTTGTAGGTTTTTCACCCGTTAATATCTAAAGCAGAGATAACGATAAACGAGTCGAATCGTGAAAGTGAATCAAACCTACAACAACAAAAAAAAAACAATTCTAACCAATTGAACTTTTGGGGGAAAATATAGGTATTATTATTAAAGTCAATCAAAGCCATATGGGATTTTTTTCCACCATCTTCAACTAATTAAATGATCTGTTTTAGCAGGAAAGTTAAACAATATGTATTGACTTGTAAGATGCAAAAAGAAATCGGTGCCATTCTTATGCAAACGGACATATGTGTCTTCACTTTTTTTTTTGGTAAATAAAAATAAGTGACTTATCCAAAAACTTTCCTATGGCAGGCTTTGCTTAAAGATATTGCTTAAAATCTAAAAAAGTGAATTGCTAACCAATGTTGCCACGTCCCTTTTTAAACATACTTGACAAAAAAAATTTTAGTTTTCAAAGAAATGATTAAACACTCCACAAAAATAGTTAATGAAATGAAAACTGGATCCTTCCTTAGCTACTTGAAGGTGGCTCACTAGAACTCTTTGACAAATTCTTTTGAAAAACTATACACAAGTCATATGAAAATTTACAAGTAAACATTTATATGTTGCAAAATGGTTTCATGTATTTCGTCTTAAATAAAATTCAAAGTGCACGCGCCATATAATTTGAAAAAAAAAAGGATAAAAGATAAAAGATTGAGGTGCATTTGCCTCAGCTGTTCTAAAGCAATAACTATTTTAAAAAAATTAAATGCTAAATCACATGTCTGTATTTATGTACGGGAGTGATAAGAAGATAACAAATCGTGCATATCCAAGATTTAAAAAAAATTAAAAATTAAAAAGTTAAAAAGTCAATTTAGAGACTCTCAATGGATTGATTGGATATAACTGGAGGGGAATTGAAAAGGATTCCGTCATTTTTTTGTCTCCTCGAATTCCTTCCGCCATATCCAGACGTCCTCAGATGAACCATTTGAAAAAACTTGCAGAGCCCCTGGTTTGATGACTGGATGCGGGCAGCTTCAAGCGGAGACTCTTCTAACGAACTCCTTTCTGAAGTAAGATGGCTTCAGTGGTGTGTCGACGGAGACGATCCGCCTCTTCCGATGACCGATTTGCATCTACCGAACTTATCGGTGCTGGAATTATCAGAGAGCGTGATGACAGAGGATCGAGAAGGATGGAGTTTGATCAAGGTAAGATGGGGGAAAAGAAGAGACATCCTCTCTCTCTGTGATTTTTTGGGTTTTGTTTTGTTTAGCCGATCCCCTACTCATTCCTTTTGACAGCTTTATTCTCCTCTTTTTGCGTAGATGGCAAAGCGGCTACAAGTTCTCGACCTTGGATGGTGCTGGGGTTTAAGATGTACTCCTGATCTCTCGGCTGTCACGCAGTTGAAGGTTCTCCACTTGTACCATTGTGCCGGACTGGAGCATCTCCACCCTTCTGTTGGCAAACTCAAGAGCCTCGTTTCCTTGGACTTGAGCTTATGTTATAGTCTCAAGGAGCTACCAGAGGAAGTGGGCGAATTAAAAGATTTAGAAGAACTTCTATTAGATAATTCTCGTATTACAGAGATCCCTATGTCCATTGGTTCTCTGAGGAAGCTGAAGAAACTGAGTGCCCGCTTTTGTGAGTCACTGAGAGAAATCCCTAGCTCAATTGGGGATCTACAGAATTTGCAACATCTTGACTTATGTGGCTGCGAAAGTCTCAAGGAGCTACCAGAGGAAGTGGGCGAATTAAAAGATTTAGAAGTACTTGTATTAGATAGTAGTGGTATTACAAAGATCCCTACGTCTATTGGTTCTCTGAGGAAGCTAGAGACACTGACAGCTAGCAATTGTGAGTCACTGAGAGAAATCCCTAATTTACATAATTTGCAACATCTTGACTTATGTGGCTGCGAAAGTCTCAAGGAGCTACCAGAGGAAGTGGGTGAATTAAAAGATTTAGAACTTCTATTAGATGCTACTGGTATTACAGAGATCCCTACGTCTATTGGTTCTCTGAGCAAGCTGAAGAAACTAAGTGCCTACAGTTGTGAGTCACTCAGATAAATCCCTAGCTCAATTGAGAATTTACATAATTTGCAACATCTTGACTTATGTGACTGCAAAAGTCTCAAGGAGCTACCAGAGGAAGTGGGCGAATTAAAAGATTTAGAAGTACTTGTCTTAGATAGTAGTGGTATTACAAAGATCCCTACGTCTATTGGTTCTCTGAGGAAGCTAGAGACACTGACAGCCAGCAATTGTGAGTCACTGAGAGAAATCCCTAGCTCAATTGGGGGTCTACAAAATTTGCAACATCTGGACTTGGGTCGGTGTAGTAGTCTCAAGAAGCTACCAGAGGAAGTGGGCGAATTAAAAGATTTAGAAGAACTTCTATTAGATGAATCTGGTATTACAGAGATCCCTACGTCTATTGGTTGTCTATTGGTTCTCTGAGGAAGCTGAAGAAACTGAGTGCCATCGCTTGTAAGTCACTGAGAGAAATCCCTAGCTCAATTGGGGATTTACAGAATTTGCAACACCTGAACTTGAGTCCTTCTGGGCTTGAAAGGCTTCCCAATGCTATTAGTGATCTTTCTTCTCTCCAGCGCCTTGACCTACTGTGCTGTGACAAGCTCCAGTCACTACCATAGCTTTCTATTCTAATCCACCTAGAAGAATTCCGTCTTGTGGCATGCCATCTACTTGAATACCTCCCCGAGCTTCCCTCAAGACTCTTGACACTCTGTATTGAGGAGTGTGGTAAGCTGATATTGCTTAAGCTCGACGGATTGAAGAACTTGGAAGAGCTTTCAATAAAAAAGTGCAGTTCAATTGAAAGATTGGAACTTTCACAATTAATTCGTCTGAAATAATTACTCGCTGAGCATTGCAATGACCTAGACGAAATTCAGGGCAGTGAAAATTTGAAGTTCTTGGAGGGCATATTTATATATGACTGCAATTCGATTGAAAGGCTTCTTTGTCCAAAATCAGGGTGTTTGAAGGAATTGCGGGTCATCGCGTGCAACAATCTAGTCGAAATTCGAGGTCTTGACAGTGCGAAGTTCTTAGAAAAGCCGGATTTTAGAGGATGCGAATCAATGGAGACTTTGCCAAATTTGACGAGATGTGAGAAGTTACGATCTCTAAATGTTCGAGATTGCAAGAAACTTACTCAGCTTTGGGGACTTGAAAAGTTGAATTTAATTTATTTGAATATTTCTGGTTGCGACTCATTGGAAGCGATACCGAAAATATCTGGTATTTAGAAATTATGAATCAGAGCTGTATTACGACTCATGGAGTGATGTTTCCTCAACAGAGGTAAATAAGCAGTGAACAATCATTTTTCTTCTGAGATTCATGGCCTACTTTTCATCACCATCTTCTTTTGACAAGAAGGTTTTCCACACAATGTTCTGATTCTGAACTATCCTAAATTGCTAGTCTCACATAATTGAAGGAGTGGGGGAGTTGGTCATAGAAGCTGACATGATGCTTCAACCAAGATCAAAATATAGACCCAAATATCAATAGAAGGCATTGGTCATCTAGTAAGATTCTTCGTCCTTGAATGGCCAACGTGAGCGAATAGAGTAATACTTTTCTCGAAGCTCTATTTTTTAAGAATGATTTTCTCCACACCGAGTATCTATTTGATTGATTTTGGAAACTCTGATTTGCCTACATTACTACTTTTGGTTACGTTATAGTAATGTTTTTCATTTATCCTTCCATTGGCAGCTTTTGTAGACTGCAAACAGATTAGCGGCCAGTGAGGCAAGGATGAAAATATTAAAGATAGGTAAACAAGAATTCCCTAGTGATTTATAGTTTCCCTCTTGATAAACCCGGGATTTGAATCTTTCATCTAGAGGCCGATGATCTTCTACTAAATATTCTAAACTGCTCCCAAAGTCCATTTTTCCCTATGTCCAAAATTCATATTTTATGTTAAAAAATCCTTGGCTATTTTGAGTTCCTTTGTGAGTATTTTTGTGTGTCAAATTTGGCTAGTGACAGATATCCTATTCTGAACAAACACCTTTCAATTTTCTCTGATGATCAAAAATCCAGTTAAGTTTCTTATTGTTCCCTTGATGTTCCTCTTGAATCTTACGAGACAGAGCATGAATTCCGAGTAAGTATGAGAAACTGAGCTAAAATAAAAGTCAAGTTTCAAGTTTCTCTGGTTGGTGATAAAAAAAAATGAAAAGTAGTTATGACTAGTCTGTCATATATAATTGTAGACCAGCTCAAAGCTGTTGTTTTGAAAGATTATCATGCAAAGGCAAACTGGTGTTGCTTTTGTGATAGGTCTGGTTAGTCTATGTAATGACTGAGGCTTACTATTGGACTTCGATTCAATGAGTTGTATCGATAACCTTGTACATAATCGGGACAATATTTTGCCCGTTCTGTGAAACAAGCTGGGGTGAGGAGGTCAAGAATTTGCTAATTAGTTTGCATCCCATTTGATCCTATTGTTGTCATGGAATCGTTTTATCACATCATTGATCTGGGTCTGGCTAACTTGGCAGAGGAACTTCAAGTTTCATACCAGAGCCCAATCAAAATGAAGAGGGATTTTGCAGAGGAAGAATCAACAACAGCTGAGAACCATCTTGCGTGCCAACCATGAAGAGGCTCGTGGGCCAACTGGGTTGTACTGAGGAAGTTTTGATGCTTGCGAACATCCAAACACCTGATCTGGTCTCAACAGCACATTCCTAAATGCTTGTGTGTGTAGTTTTCTCAATTGAATCTGCTTTCTGTATGCTCATTAGGTTTTACATCTCTAATTAATCTAATACGTACCTGCTGATTTTTCTGTATGTTACCTTGATGCAGAGTTGTTTGACGCAGTTGCTTTCTAATGATATCACTCCCGATCTCGATGAGGCTCTGCAGAGGGAGGTATGCACTGCTAGTCGTACCGTAACTATGAAAGACTAACTCGTGTGCTTATACTATATGAGCTGCACATTTCACCTGAAAATCAGTATACAAGGATGCATGATGACAATCTCCTTGATTTTCTATAAGTTTATTAGTGTGATAATATCCTTTGAATGTTGTCATATATGTTTCTGATTTAATAAGCTTGGTTCTCATGTATGCAATGTTGAATTTGTGAAGTTAAAATTCACCTCCTGGCAAACTTTTGCGTATTGCTGATTTTTCTAATTGGGTACTGCGAAATAACCAAGTCAACAATTACATCTTTTGAGGCACTTCACCCTTTCGGCATAATCATATTAACAAAAATTCTGTTCCTAAACACAAACAAGGAAAGCGTTGCTAATTGCTTACTTCTTCGAAGCCTGTTGTTTCTTTTTTCCTCGGCCAGCTAACAGAGTCTTTGTTCATTGCGGTCCAACTGTGATTGGTGCAAATAATGTTTATGCATTTGTACCTTATCTTTCATGGGGTAAATTGTGATGCTGCAGTCGCAAATTTCTTCAATTATTGACAATTAGTTAATCCCATCCTTCTTGTGTAGATTCAAGCTGCATTTCTTGAAATTCAGGAGAAAGTCTCCAAACACCACTGGATGGAGATGCGGGCTGTCATGAGCCATGTCATGGTGTTCCAAAGTTACTGCAATATTGTCTTTTATCATGTGCTGCGTATTGTTAACCTTCTTCATAGGATCATTGACATTAAACGACCTCTTCTCATGGTGTGTAGTTGTCGTTTGCAAGCTTTGAATCGTGCTATTCTTTGGCTTTGGCCGAATCTCAAAATGCTTGCAGAAGCCGCATGTGCAGGTGGTTCTGTATGTGAAGTTAAGCATAAAATCAAATTTGTTAACGAGATTACCGTTTAGATGTCCACTTCAAGCCACAATCTTGTGACCGGAAGAGACTTTTTTCATGGAAAAAGCAAATGTTATGGACTCAGCACATAATATGTCAATTGCAGCCAAGAGTCCCAACGAAAAGGGTTTCAATACGACAGAAGTTTCTCATTTGGAAGAATTTTGAACACAAAATAGAAGTGTTCATCAACCTACAATTATCTCCTTGATCTGGTTATGCTGAAAAATTTATATATTGGCATTTTGCAATCACTTCCGTCGTATGATTTTCAAACTTAATTTATTTACGCATGAATCTATAAAGCAGAAGAAGCACAGTCATACATTTTCGGTACTTGAAACCGAATTTTCTTTGGCGTTTGGCTACAGTGGAAGGTTGAAAATAGCCCTTCCCAGAATTTGTACTCATTTGGTTTGAATGAAAAACTTCGAAGGGTCATCTAATTGGTTAATTCTTTGACTCTGCTACGCCAAATTATGGTCATCGGATATGCATTCGAGTTTCAATCGAAGCAATTTCTTTGGGGTCACTCACAGATATTCTCCTACTATGAACTGGACTACACTAACGGAGTTTTAGTAGTTAAAAGCTACTCGCAAGGTATACTCGTAGTCTGATAAGCTTGTTGTCTACTTTTTAGTACTAAAGCCATATATAGTGCCGGCCATGTTAACGAGTCAAATCACTTGTTAAACATACTTAGCATAAAATAACCTAATTTTCAGAATATTGATTAGGAATAATAACACACAAAAAGTGGCAAGTAAAGTCAACGTATTTGACTCTGCAATTTGATTCCTTAGTTGCTTAACCAGTGCCCAGGCATTTAATCCAAAGGGCAACGGCTTTGTGTTTGACTGCATATACGGCATTAGTCACGACCTTATGGACTAAAATGATTTGAAGTTGGACGACCGTGAATCGACCGAATAAAATTGAATGAGCAAGTCAAACTGATTGAGCCGATTTCATGCTAGCAATTTGTTTGGAGCTTTGTTTCGAAAGTTCGTTCACAATTTACATCAAGATCCTATAAATAACAGCAACAATAACTGTTAAAGCTTTGAAAGGACAGAAGAACTTTCGCTTCCAGGGCTTTTCGGTTTTCCTCATTTTTGTAACTCCGAGCTCGCTGGGACAATACTAGAAATATGAAAACTGTCCTCAAATCAAAATGGAACTGTGGAAAGCCTTTCGATTCGTTTAACACCCGCACACAGCATTTTTAGATTATGTAGCTTCGGTAGCATACGTTACCATATGCTGAATCGTACAACAACGAAGAGGAATCGAAATAGACGAATTGAGGAAATTAGGAGTGGTTGAAGAACCCTAGAAACGAGAGAAGAACAGATCAGACAATTTTAATCAGCTCCACGAACTAAATTTAATCAAGCTACGTTCCCATTCAAATCCAAAGTTGACTATCCCATAGCCATCATCATCAACAGATCAGACAATTTTCTCTACCTCCAAGCCCTGCTCCTCCATGGAATTTCAACCTTTTCAAGCAATTCGGTCGATTGATGATGCCCGAGTCAGAATCGAATCGATCCGTACTCTCTCTCTCTCTCTCTCTCTCTCTCTCTCTCTCTCTCTCTCTCTCTCTCTCTCTCTCTCTCTCTCTCTCTCTCTCTCTCGAATCTAACGTTGACACATCCTAGTCAACATGAATCTAATATTGTGCCTGACCCAGGAATAATAAAGCCATGTTAAATCCCTAAGTATCAAATCATGGATGCATTGCCATGTGCTCTCTGTGAAAAACTATTACATAGTGTGGATCTAAGATCCCCAGTCCACTAATGACCTGAATAATGCAGTCCACCTGTGCAATGCTTGATGACCAGAAAGCCAGTGGTGTTCAACAGTTGGATAGCTGATGATTACACCCTAATAAAGGTTCTCAACCAGTCGATTGTATCTTAAGATATATGACTTGAAAAATTGAATCTGCAAGTAAACCAACTTCAGATGCAGTCATGATATGCGTTCATCACTAATTCAAAATGGGAAAGAAGAAGAAAGGCAACGTGTGCTTGTATAATTGGATTTCATTGTTAATCTTTCGCTGAACTGAAACAAGTAATTTTTTCTTCCTCAGTCAAGACCGGACGGTGTGTTCCCATATGCCTCTCCGGCTTATATGTTGAGCCACGTTTTTGTTCCCCTCACAAAAATAATTAGTTCCAGACAAAGAACATGGCAACAGATGAAAGGAAAAGACAAACATGAGATGACAAGACCATCACAACTGAAGAATTCTGTATCCTTAGCTAAGGACCTTTGCTCCTCCATTACCATGTTGTCTTCCAATAATTGCGGATGATGGAACCAGAAGAACTGTGTGGCTCAAGAACATGCATAAGTCGGTACCTGTCGCCTATCAAGGGAGTTGACACCTGAAAGGTTTACCTTTATGAAGAGGCTTTGAGACAATTGTCGCAAGGATTACAACCATATTTGCGGTCTTTCTGATCCAAAGACTCGCCAAAGTGTGCAAGTAAGGTTTGCCGCCAACACTCATCCTGAAAATTTCGCAAATTAGAGAGTTAACACATGTTTATCAATAGACTTTGCTCCATTCAGGTACGTGGAAGATGAGTTTAGCCCAAAGGTTCCATTATGATTTACATATGTTGCCAACAAATCCATCTAATGATCCAGCACCCAGACCGGTTAATGCCAGACTAACACTAACAAAAATCAATAGAACAAAGTGGAAAGTGGAAACACAAAATAGAAGCATCACTTAGTTGAGATCATTAATGAGAAGTTGAGAACACAAATTGGATTACCTTGAGTTCACAATATTGCTGCATTTTCCTAGCTTGAGGCATTGCAGATTTAAAGAAAGCGGTTTTACATCCTTGACCACTCCTTAACATGCACATAACCCGGCTGAAATCCTTTTTGGCATATAGAGCTATGCACAATGCTGGTGGATTATCTCTTCCTACCCTCCCTGATTCTTGGTGATAGCTTTTGATTGACTTGGACATTGCGTTGTGGATGACAAAATGCTGACCACATGCCATAAAATAATTACTGAACCAATAAAAAGAAGTAGAAATGTGACAAAAACATTATAACTTAAGGTCAAGTTAGATCAGAGTCATTTGCCACCTTGACAATAAAGAAATGACCTTTATCCTAGTCTAACTTAATTTCAGCACACCCAAGTTCCATGCTTGGAAGAAAGAATTTGACTTGAAAAAATACATAATTCGCTAGTTCCTGCAATCAATAGCCAAGATCGACGATTTAGAAGGCCACTGGACCATGGAACCAGTAAAGTTTACTTGCAAGCACACTAAGAAACCTACTAGTGAAACTTAAACATTAGAAGAAAAGTGGATTAGTCGAGTATTTGTCAACATGTTAGCTTGATTCTAAAACTAAAAATAGGCAAAGGCCCAGAGTCCATGTCAACTTACCACATCTGGTTTGTCTATTCCCATCCCAAAAGCAATGGTCACACATACAGCCTGGACCTCTCCAGTATGCCATTTCTTTTGAACAGCTACTCTTTGACAGGCTGCTAATCCAGCATGATAGTACACCGCCTTTATACCGCACTAATCATTCAAGTATTTTGCAACATCAACAGATTCACTCTTTGAGAGGCAATATACTATGCCACAAAAATTAGCAAAATGATTCTTTAGCAGCTCTCCAAACTGCTTCAGTGGTTCCTTGGTCTTTGCTATGACCTCGTACTTTAGGTTTGGTCTGTCAAAGCTTGTCTCAAGAACAAGAGCATGGGGGATCCTGAGAGCTTTTAGGATATCCTGCAATGGATGCACATTTCAATCGGTCGCAAATGATTATTTCAACATAATCTGGAGGTTAATGTGCAAGTTTCGTACCTCACGAACTGGCTGAGTGGCAGTTGCAGTTAAGGCCATCACTGGGACGTATGGAAAATTTTGCTTGAGACATCCCAATCCCTTATAATCTGGACGAAAATCATGTCCCCATTGACAGCAATAATGACAACCAAGAAAGTAACAGCCAATAAACTTTACTAGTTTACAATCATTCAAGTATATGAGAAAAGCTCAAACCAGCTGGACATTCCTTTCATGAGATGGCACTGGCAGTGCAAATCCAGTAAAGACCTCACAAGAAACACAATCAATGATCACATGGGCAAACTTTTGCCTTATATCTCAACTTGTTAATATATAGTATAAAGGTTAAAAGAACAGATACAAACACAAGAACCAGCTTAAAAGACCTGAATATCATGCCAAACATGGACACTTCCAATTACTTCCGAAAGTGATTTCCGTTAGAGGTTATTTTAGTCGTATGCATTTTGCCTAATATGATTAACGATGTGTCACTAACTTTTCCCAAAAGAAGGAACTGGATCATTTCCAGAATTAGTTATTTCAACATTGCATTCTGTTATGCTAGAACTTCACAGAAAGGCTAGAAACACAGAAAATGCGAAAACGTTCGAAAAAAAGAGTTAGAGCGAGCATAAATAAAAGTTAACTTGCATTTATTTATCTGGAACAAGGACAGTAGTTTTGCAGTGGCAACATCAAAATACTTATTCCTTTTGAAGTAACTCTAGTACGACCTTTGCTTCAGATACAAGGATGCCAAAGAGCATACCTCACACAATGTGCCCCGTCAACAACAAAACCAGCAAGTTGTGCCTGCAATGCGTGATGGATGAGTATCAAAAAGTTAAAAAGAAACTTTCAGAAAAAGTTACAGTCAGAAATAGTACCTTTCTATGTAAGCATTTCAATATCTCGAGAAATGATGGGGTTCCCACAATCCTTTCAGGAGTCACATACAATAACTTGCACGATGGTTTATCTTTCCTGAAAAGGCAGGCAAAGCAGTAGGGATTAATGACTTGACAATCACAACACTCAGAAAAAAAAAAATTAGAAGTCCAGTAGAAACCCCATTGCAACATATGGAGCATAGCCCAACATTTTAGGGCGGGATGAAGATTGAATCGTATGATATACTTCTCTAGAAAAAACTAAGATCCCAAAATTTATTTTTGAGGCAAACATCTCAGGCATGAATCTTTTCATTAACTTCATAAAAAATGTGCATCCATTGCAACATATGGAGCATAACCATTTAATGGCGGGATGAAGATTGTTTGGTATGATATACTTCTCTAGGAACGTAGAGAGAGAGAGAGAGAGAGAGAGAGAGAGAGAG